CATCTGGGGCTGATGCAGTAGGCCAGTTATTGGCCGACATACAGAGTGAACTCAGTCTCAACCCAACCCAAGGAACTTAAGAAAAACTGGACACCTTCTAGGGAAGAAGATGAAGACCATAACAATCGTAGTATAACTGGTTACTGGCCTGAACTCGAACTAGGTTCCTCTCAAATCGGAGTCGGACCCGTTACTTCTGAACGTATCGGAGAGGAGTATTGGGCTTTATACGTAAGTTTCTTGTGTGGCATCTGATGTACCAGAAATGAAAGAAATTTTGTGGCTTGGATGAAAACAGGAATTTTGAAACTAATACAGAGAAGAAGGGAAACAGATGCAGGAAGCTGTCCTCTGTACTTAAGAAATGAAGATGCTGAACACATAACATCGAGCTGTCCAGAGACAAAAGTGGGAAGTGAATATTACCCCAAATGTAGCAAAATATAATAATTAATTATTGCAGAAAAGTTAATAAATTATATTTACACTACACACATATACGTATAACATATGAAAATATTCAGATAGAATTAGACATAAATTGTTTAATACAAGGCAAAATTAAACTATAAATAGTGAAATAATGTAAATATTGATAATTTTGGAGGGGAACTTACGCCGTAACATCCAGGTGTTAAACGGCACGTAAAATAAATTTAACTGAATATTCTATTCTATTCTGTTCTATTTTACTTTGCTCTATTTTGTTCTGTTCTATTACATTATATTCTCCAATGTTTTCAACGTTTCTACATATGTCTCCATTTCTTGATTCCCCAATATAGAGCGTGGTGTTTGTTGCAATAAATGCATTGCCTGAGATGTTGTCCCTTACTGGTCTACTTAATAGTTTCGAAGCTAGTGATAGCCCCATTTTATTGGGCAGTTTAGTGAGCTGTAGAAAAGGGAGGAGTTGGGCGGTGCGGGCAAGATGTTGACAGGTAATTTCCGGGGAACATGGGATCATGGTTTTATTAACCCCAACTGTCACAATTTTAATCTCTCTTGGTTGAAGTGGCATCTGGGGTTACGCGAAAAAAGAGGGGTATATTTATCGGCTTTTCTTTCTACACTTGCTTTTGTTTCGTTTTATCTTCCAACTTCCAGCCTTCTGCTTAACCCTCCTCTGATTTTGTCCTCTCTGCGACATTTCGCGTTTCTGCCTCGGCTAATATAGAGTCGGGTAAGTCAGACATTATTTCGAAATTTTCTGGAGGCTCCCAGGAACACCGCGAGATACCTCATTTAGGATTGCTAGTGTCCCAACCGAGATTCGAAACAGGCACCTCCAAAACATAGATAACATGTGTTACCGCTTGAGCCAGAAGAGAGAGGATAAAGCAATATTGAATACTTGACTGTAAAGCAATGAATCAACGATGCAAAACCATAAGGGTACGAAGCAAATTGCATGGACTGTTTTAAAATATCTGTCTGTCTGTCTGTCTGTCCATCCGTCCATCCGTCCATCCGTCCATCCGTCCATCCGTCCATCCATCTCCTGTTGCTCCCACTTGGATCATAAGAGCATCCATGAAACGTTTCGATTCACTTCAGTTTCTTAATCTTAGACAGTCGGTTGGACTTCTTGAACTGGAGGATGAACCCTACATAAGGCCACTACCTACACAGGCCAACACAAACACAGAATAAACGCACGCACACAGACATTCGTGCCTTGAGTGGGATTCGAACCAAATCCCAGTGTTCGAGCGGGTGAAGACATTTCATGCCTTAGACCCCTCTGCCACTGTGATCGGCTGATTAAGTAATAGTGTAAGAAAAATAAACATGAAATTCGCTAAAATTCACACAAGATGAATCTGAAAGTATGAGTAAATACTGTGTGAATACTGTCAATATAACCAAGAATAGAAGAATGAAATCAAGTACTGCATAATCATTTTTGATGGGTTGTTTGACGAAGAAACAAATAATTAATTATAGATATCTTATCGTAGTATGTCATGTTGTGTTGTATTTCCAGTTGTATTTATTCCCGTTAGCACAACTTTTGTATAGATATACTGTGCGTTGAAAAACAAAACTTTGTAGTTAAAGGACTTTATGATTCAACAAATTTTGGCAATTTAACAATTTTAAAATTTAAATTTTTAACAAGGACCCATGTGGCTGCTTGTGGCACTATGCTACAAGCTGAAAGTTCGTGGGTTCGAGTCTCGATGAGGTGGATTTTCTTCAATTAAACCAATCCTTTCAGCCGCACTATGGTCCTTGGTTTGACCCTGCCTGTAATCGAAATGAATACCAGCAATCTTCCTGGGAGGTAAACGACGGCCGGCGCGTAAGGCTGACAATCTTACCGCCATACGTTAGCCGATTGTCTAGACAAAATGTGGAAGCCTCGACGACTCACAACCAATTGACCTTTACGGCCTGCTACAGGGATAGCTTTATCTTTTTTTACACATATGATTGAATTACACTCCAGTGTATGGAACCAACACAAAATATTCCCACTGTAAACACTGGCAGATTTAAGAATGAGTAGTGTAGCCCACAGAGAATATGCATTCCTGAAGATGACCGAAACATGCAGTTGGCAATTAACGGAGCTGTGCAGAAGTTGTGCTCACCGCAATAAGTGCAAAAACGAGTTCTTGAGTATGAACCAAAAGGACGCGGAGACATAGAAAACCCTTCTGTATCGTGCAAAGAGGAAGTGAAACCGGAACAAGCTTGTTTGCCTATAGCATGCCGTGAAGAAAGAGAGGAAAAGAGAAACAGAAAGGCAGCTGCAAAGTTGCTAGGTTTTGGTGCTCTGTAGCATTCTGTACCCGAGACGGCCTCTCATTTTCAGTCGCCTTTCGCCCCACTCTATATCCTCCATTTATACCTAATTTGCCTACCTACGTTAATAATCTGGTCAATATATTTTCTGTTATGAAATTTGAAACGCAATTTTAGTGACGTAAGCATCATAAAAGGAAGATGTTTCTACACTGTCAGTGTTAACAAGTTTGGAGACGTGTAGCATAACAATTATCGCGCGTTCGCTTTGTTATTTTATATAGACTTCCTGAATAAATAATGAAAGAATGATGAGCTAAAATACTCCGTAGCCTGTCGTCTGCAAGAGAACTATACCGACTGAGCGACCGTCGCTTGTCGGCGAATTTAGTGCCAACTTTTGCGGATAGAGGGTGTCGCGTGGTCAGCGCAACGGTTCCCCACGGCCGTTAATCTCAGTTTTCTAGACCTGAGCCTCTATTTCCTTGTAATAGCTCCACAATTATCCTCACGAGGCTGAGTGGATCCCGTTCCAGACCCAATACATCTCAGAAAGTCTGGTAGCGCCGGGAATCGAACCCGGATCCTCTGGATCTCTAGACAGAAACTTTGACCACAGAGAAGCAAAAAAAAATATTAATAGTAAACTGACAAATTCAAACGTTTCAAATGAACACAGAACAAAGACATACCAATGCTTAAATCGTGATAAGGATTAGTTAGTGACTTTGTTAATTTCGGAGCATAATCGGAAGATCATTATTGACTGATGATTATATACAAATCAGAAATGTAAGCCGTGAGTAACAATTCTGGATCCTTTTAAATTCCTTTACAATTATTTCTCAAACTGTACAGCTTGCGAGAAGGGCGCAAGGAACATAGAATGGGGGTTTTATATTTCTCTGCAAGCTCATTCGAAATATTTTCGCTCCGATGTGCATTTAGCGCCATATGATCCTGATGAATTCAAACAAGACTGCAGCTTTTCATGAAAATTATCCGTTATTTTTGTCCGTTTATGTAGTCTGTGCTGCTGACATTGTCGTTAACTGAATCATAAATAAATAAATTAACAAGAATTTGAATGTAACGACACATTAAAGTAATACCTGACATCGAATTTCATAAGTATCCTGTCAGTGCTTTTCAAGGCGTTTTACGTGGACCGATGGTTAGATATGGCGAAACTATGAAGCGTATTTTTACATTTTTTTTTTTCATTTTAAAGCTAGATTAAATTTTATTCCTTCTTATTCCTAGTCATTTAGCCGGTATAATTCAGTGATAGCCTAATGTACCTGCTTTGAGTCCAGGCTTTGATCTCTCAGTTTATGAAGTTCGTTGTTATAAAAAAAAAAAACAAGTTTCCTGTGTTTCGCCTTTATGCTACCTTGAACTACCTTAATTCAATTCAAAATCTACTTCTTTAAGGTCCATATTAAGTCAAAATTTTATAAATCATGCAGGTTCGTGTCACTTCTCCTATCGTCTTTCTTGGAGGGGGCTGAACTTGTGCCACCTGTCTATCTTGTGAAGGCGATTCTTAGTATCGTCCGTGGTTGTTCGTGGCTTGCTGGACGGAGTTATTTTTGTCTTTGTAATTGTTAGTGTGATGGACCAGAATGAAACAAATAAAAAAAAAATAAAGGTTTGCAAGAGTTCTGCAATTATTATTTTAATGCTTTTCGTATATTATTAAACGCAATCTTAATCTTGTTAACAAGAGAGTGTATCAGATTCTCGAGTTTCATTATACTACTGAAATTAATAACAAATGGAAACCTGAGTATTATTACTTCATGTACATGATACATAACACATTAATGTAACTGAAAAGCTATGTT